GTCCGGAGCTGGCACGGACGCTGGCGACCCCATGGCCTACTTATGGAGGGAGGTCTGGAGGTTGGTGTCGGACCGTGGGGTGGAGGCGGCGGAGGTGACTCATGTCAAGGCACACTCGCCTGTCTCCGCCATCGCGGATGGAGTGATCACGGCTTGGCAGCGTTTCGGCAACGCTCAGGCCGACACGTCGGCCAAGCGTGGGGCTGCTTTGCATCCTGATGCGAAGATGTTGCGCGAAGCTCACCGTGCCTCGCGTCGTGCGGTCCAGATGGTTGCCCAGTTTTGTACGCGTGTCGCGGCGAGGATAGGTGATGTCACCCCGCTGGACGCGCAGGCTCAGGCTCTGGGTAGGGTCATTGGCACCATCGAGGGAGGGTTCGGCCCGCCTAGGCCGCACTCGCGGTATGATCCTGCGGTCACATTTTGTGGCCGACGCTACCGCTGCATGGTGTGTCTCCGCTCGGCGAAGGCCCGACTCACACTGCGCAAGCTCAAGTGTCAAGACAGAGCTGGCATGCGCTCGCTGCATCCGGCGGGGCCAGTTTTGTTCTGTTCTCTGTGCGGAGCGTACTCCGAAAAACGCAGCCAGGGTCTCTCGGTTGAATGCCTGACAAGTCGGCGCAGGCTTGGCACGCATGTGAGGGACTCTCGTTTCTACCGCCTTCAGAACCTGCTGAAGGGCTGCCACCCTAACACATCGAGTTTGTTTCTAGGGCCTCCAATTTTGTTCTGGGAGAGGAGGCCCGTAGAGATGGCGAGCATGCCGCCACTTCCCTCGCTCCCTCTGACCTCTGGGGTTGGGAGTGGGTCGGACGTGGGGGTGGGGTGGTCGGGGCAGGAGCTTCTCTCTCCTCCTGTGTCCCAGGCTGTTTCGGCCTTGTGGGAGGACCTTCAAGGCCTCCCGTTTGCCAGCGACTCGGATGACGACGACGACCTCTCCCGCGCTGCGAGGAGCTGGGTCGAATAGCGTCTCCGTCGCTGGCCGTCATCTTTTTTAAACGGGCTGGTACGCGTGCGGCTGGTCTTTGTCAGAGCAAAAAAAGGGGCAACAATGGCGTAATCATCAGCACGATTCCTGGTCACATCCCAATCTTCGTGAGCACGCGCGAACATCGGGACGCAAAGTTCTTTGCGCATCATCTCTTTGAGACCCGGGGCGGTGGCCGCGATGGCAGCCACCTCGAACCGCTCGGTGTCGTCATCGCGCGGGGGGGGAACCTCCCGTGACTGTCGGTGTCTGTGTCGCGCATGTCGACCACCTGATTTTAAAAAATCCTCATGGGTCCTGGACGAGGCACCATCGAGCCAGCAACACCCATTGGATACTGAAAGGGACGAGGCGGACCTGCATTGAACTGTTGATGTCTGTATGGCATGGGCGGACGAGGCGCGAAGGGATTCATTGCCAAGGATGTAGCAAGTATGTGGGGAATGAGCATACAGTATCGGAATGTATCGGGATCAACGGACAGGAGCGAGTATGGCCAGATCACTACCCAACAAACTCTGACGATTATTTTGACTACTTCACTGGGCTGTAGTCTGAGCGCACAATGGCCATGCACAGAACAACCGGTAAGACAGGAAGAAAAGGGACGGGGGGAGGGGACGAGAGAGACATGGATGTTATGAGCACAAGGATTACACGTGCACGGAAATTCGGCACAGGTTTGTCTCGCGATATATACATATATACATACACACATATATATATATATATACATATGCACAACACATCATGCGATATGCACTCATCCTGCAGAGACGGGTGGCCACCATGAGCCTGAATCATTCGCACCCCGCCAGCGAGCATATGTGATTGTGAACATCGATGGACCCATGCAGAGGGAGGGGGAGGACGAGGAGAGCAGCACAGCAGAAGCTCAGAATTGGGAGCCCATTTCGCTCTGGCACGAGAGAGAGAGAGAGAAAGAGAGAGAGAGAGAGATAGCACGATGCACACAAGAGATATCGGGATGCTTCATCAGTAATCTGGACACAGCGACGTCGAATGCTTTCCAGGGGTACTCAAGGCACCTCAGTACAAGGAAGAGAGAAGCAATCGAACACTCGGGGTCGATGGCCAGACACCGGTCCACGCCGCCACGTAAGAGTGACCATTTGCCGGAGTGACCTCGGAATGACCTCTGGTGCGGGCACACTGGGGTCCCCAGATGACTGAGCGCGAATCGACAGCTTCGGCTTCTTTGCTGGTGTTTGGCCTCCCTTCCCCCCCCCTGCGCTCCCCGAAAGTCGCGCACAAAAGGTCACTTTTGCCTAGGGTCACTCCTGCGTGTAGCCGACCCCTGAGATCCAACGCACTGGGTGCCGTGGGCGGGCATGGGCCGCGCGATCGGTGGTTCAGAGGTGGGGTCCTGAGGGCCTGAGGGATTGGGCCCTGAGGGCGAGGTGCCTCAAGCAGTAGTGTACATCCACCCTTGGATCTCGTCCTATCCTTCGGCCCCCCTCCCTCAGGACCCCATCTTTGAACCGCCGATCGCGGGCCGCGCCCCTGGGACGCGACCCCGCGGATACGGGGTGCTGCTGTTCGCGGATGCCCGGTCGCGGAACGCATCCGTAGGACCGTGTCTCCGCGGGATCGCATCCTGGAGTCCATACCGCGAGGGCGTGGAGATGGATACGTTTGCCGCTCGTGAAGGAAGGATGCCGATGCCATTCCCGAGGGCAGAAGCACGCTGATCATGACCAGCATGCCGCGGGATCTTGCCGACGCCGATCTCGGTCATGGTCCATGCCGGCCGTCGCCGATTCGCGAGGCTGATCCACGGGTCGACGTCGACCAAGATGGACGGCCACGAAGATCGACGCCGACCTTCCCGCGCTCAGTATTGGTCGTGGTCGCTGTTCTCGTTTCCCCCACGCTGCCCGCCTCTCGTCGCCACGGCTGGATTCGCCTCGAGGTCCTGATCAGAACGTGCCCGGGGAGGGCTCCGTGGGGTGGCAGATCGTGGCGTTGGTATCTTCGGCCGCGCGTGGGAGTGGGCCTCCGCCGGAGGGGCCTCCAGCGCGAGCCCACGGGCCCCCCCTTCAGCACTGGCCTGCGCACCTGGAGTTGTCGCCCACCCCTCCGAGCTCCTCCCCACTTCCGCGGCCCGCCGAAGCCGCGATCCAGAGACCACTCTTGCCCAGGGCCACCTCTGCGTTTCGCCGGCCAGCGTCCCTGGGCATCCGACGTCGTGTCTTTGTGGCAGCGCGGCTTTCTAGAGGTCTGGACCTGTTCCTCTGGACGTATTTTTGTTGCTTCCTTTTGATTGCTCTCTACCTCTTTTTATTGTTTTTGTTTGCTTCCTTCTTTTGGTTGCTTCCTTGTTTTTGCTCCCCTGTTTTTGCGCCTCTTTTTTGGGGCTTCTTGTTTTTGCTTTCTTTCTATTGCTTCCTTTGTTTTGCTTCCTTTTCGTTTGCCTCCTTGTTATTGCTTTCTATTCCTTTTTTATGTATTCTCGTGTTCTCCTGCACTGGTTTCGACGGCCCAGGGGCACGGCGAGGGCCCTTTAGAGGCGCCCACCGGCCAAGCATATCCCCCCCTCGTGGTATGCCCACGACGTGAGGAGGCTCAGCTCTCGGGCCATGACTCGGGTCTTTACGTTGCATCTTCGGGGGACCTCGCCTGTCCCCAAAACTGGTGTCTTTTCTTGTGCCCGACGCATGCTTGATGCGGACTCGACGCGGACTTGGCATGGATCCGACGCGGATTCGACACGGATCCGACACGGATCCGACGAGTCCGACATGGATTCGACACGGATTCGACGCGGATAGGACAGCGACGGGACAGACAAGGTCCCCCGAGGATGCAACGCAAGGGTCTTCGGCAGCTGCTCGGGACGATCCGGGCACCCCCAGCAGAAGCTCACGACGAGGCGCCGCTGCCGGCGAGCGCCTCGTGGCCCGAGCACGTCAGGATGTGCTCCTTCCCGTTGTGGTCTTCTCAGGGGCAACGACAGGGGGGGATCGGCATAGGGGGGGATGTATCGACCCCCAATCGCCCATTGATCGCCGATAGGGGCTCGATAGCCCCAGCCTGCCCAGGAAGGTGCGGATTCAGGATCGGAGGCCCATCGCCGATCTACCGGCGATGTGTCGCCGATTCCAGGTCGATGCATCCCCCCCCCATGCCAGTCCCTCCCTGTCGGTGCCCCTCATTCTCCCCGACGCAAGGATGTCAGGGTCCGCTGCTGCAGGACGGCGGCAGAGAAGTCTTTGAGGGGCGTCACGCACCGGCCGCCTCGGGTGAGGATCAGCACCTTGGGTCTGGGGCCTGCTCGTGGGCGTCGCCGTCATTGGGGTAGACGTCTTTTGTCCTCGACGTTTTTCGCAGGCCTAGAGATTGACACCAACACCAAGATCGGCGCTGTTTCCTCCACCGAGGGAAGAAAGATCCCGATCTCGGTGATGGTGGTAATATTCTGGCTTCCAAGGTGGCCGAAATATGACCACCAACACCGAAATCTAGGATCGTCTCCCCCCTGTGGAGGCAGCCCCCTTGTCTTGGTGTTGTTGCCCATTTCCAGGCCTCCAAGTTTTCCCAAACAGATCTTTCCCTCGTGCTTTTCTCATCTCGTCATCCTGCAGGGGCAGCGGCGGGGGGGGCAGGCTCCGGGGCGGGGACGCATCGCACCCCCATCGCCCACCTCGTCGCCGGAGAGGGCCCGATGGCCCACGCCGCCCGGGACCGGGCGGATTCGCCGTGGGGGTCTGTGGCCGACCCGCTGCTGTCGCCGTTTCCAGGTCGAGGGCCCCCCCCCCCCGGGAGCCCGTCCCCCTCTCTGCCGTCTCGGGGGTGGACAGAGCCCCCAACGGTGACGCGTCGATTAGTGAATAGTGAATTGGCCGTTTTCGGTCCTCGAGAGGGCGCCGTGGCCGTCATTTTCCAGGCTTGCGCCCGCCAGGTTTGGGCCTCAGGTCGTTTTCACTAAACCACGTTTTACTAAAGGGGGGTCTGTCCATCCCCGAGACGTCCTCCTTCGATGCTTCGCAAG